ATCCCATGCCAAAAGTCCAGCAGATAAGGCAATGAGTCACTGGCAGGAGCAATAGGCCCTGGTCATCAGGAGCTGGGGGTGCTGATACACATCTCTTAGTATCCCTTGCCCAATTTTGATGGTAAGTGGACAAATGTGGTAGCCAGGGTCCTCCAGACTCCTCCAAGATGAGGGTCTGGGCCACCCTGTCTAGACAAGCAGAAGTGGCAGATGAGGGTGAAGGGAATCTGGATGGGTCGCAGAGGCGGCAGAAGATGAGTCTTAGTTGCAGCCTCAAGGCCAGATGCAGCACTGGGAGCTGTAGCTCTGTCCCTCAAACTTACTCTTGTAAATTTCCCCAGAAAAGAAACCAATTAGAAACTAGATTATGCAGGCTTTTACAGGCCATAGGAAAGATTCTGGATACTTTTATCTTCATAGTGGGACAAAATTCCTAGGCCTTTTTCCTTGCTCGGTTTCTAGAAAATTGGTAGCTAGACACATTATACTTCCCTGTCCTCTAGCCAGAGAATGGAATATCTCTGGAGAAATTCTACAGACACTGATATTTGAGATCCTCCAATAAAACAGCCAGATCCTTGGCCAGAAGCGTTGGTTCATGCCTGTAATCCCAGCACTTTGGGAGGCCGAGGTGGGCAAATCACTTGAGGTCAGGAGTTGGAGACCAGCCTGGCCAACATGGTGAAACCCTGTCTCTACTAAAAATACAAAAATTAGCCAGGTGTGGTGTTACATGCCTATAGTTCCAGCTATTCGGGAGGCTGAGGCACAAGAATTGCTTGAACCTGGGATATGGAGGTTGCAGTGAGCCAAGATCGAGCCACCGCAGTGCAGCCTGGGCAACCGAGAGAGACTCAATCTCAAAAAAACAAAACAAAACCAAACAAAACAGGTAGGTCCTTGCTTCATAATCCTATAGTCAAGCCCACCAGTTGATAAGTCTGATATATCGCAAAGAACCTCCAGTCTGCATTTTAGTGCCTCATTCTTTAAATAAACAGGCTAGATAGAGCCAGGCATGGTGGCTCTTGCCTGTAATCCCAGGACTTTGGGAGGCCAAGAAAGGAGGATAGTTGAGCCTAGGAGTTCGAGACCAGCCAGGGCAACAAAGTGAGACCCTGTCTCTACAAAAAAAAAAAAAATGTAATGTCTCAGATCATATGGGTACAATTATATATGTGTGTGTATGTATGTATGTGTGTATATATGTATGTGTACGTGTATATATCTATATCTATCCATAGATATAGATACACACACATATATAAAAAAATCAGCTGGGCATACTGGCATGGGCCTGTAGTCCCAGGTACTCAGGAGGCTGAAATGGCAGGATCACTTGAGTGCAGGAGTTCAAGGCTACAGTGAGCTATGATCATGTCACTACACTGCAGCCTAGGTGACAGAGTGAAATCCCCTCTCAAATTCATTAATTGATTAATTATTTAAAAAAAACAGGCCAGGAAGGAAATTCAGACATTTCAGAAAAGCTTCTAACATAACAGACAAGAGTAAATGAACAAACAAAAGGAACTATCAGAGAAAGAAACAATGTGAGACAGCAAGACCAACTCTTCAAAAGTTACAGTAAAGATCATTAAAGAGATTAGAGAAAATAATGCATCCATAATACAAGAGTAGAATGCTATAAAAAAGAACATTTGGAAAAAATTAAAAATTCAGTAGAAGTGTTAGAAAACCAATCAGAGGCCAGGCGCGGTGGCTCATGCCTGTAATCCCAGCACTTTGGGAGGCCGAGGTGGGTGGATCACAAGGTCAGGGGATCGAGATCATCCTGGTCAACATGGTGAAACCCCGTCTCTACTAAAGATACAAAAAAATTAGCTGGGCATGGTGGCACGTGCCTGTAATCGCAACTACTCAGGAGGCTGAGGCAGGAGAATTGCCTGAACCCAGGAGGAGGAGGTTGCCGTGAGCCGAGATCGCGCCATTGCACTCCAGCCCGGGTAACAAGAGCGAAACTCTGTGT